ATCAAAGAAAACCTGTGATGCATAGACAGCATTCAACAATACAACTAAAAGCACAAATGACAGGTAAACATACGCAAACAATCTTACGATACAAGCTCAAAGACCAGTCCAAAGCTCAGTGGTAGTGGCTGAATGGACAGGCATCAAGAGATCCCCCTTAAGTGACGACACCTTGTTTGCTAACATACTGATAATAGTCTTATCAGACCGATAACCGACCAACATTTTACCTTGCAACTATTCTTCAAACCTCTAGGTCAAGTTCATGCACAATGCTGAATAATTCATTTATTTAAACAAAAAAAACGGTCTTTATAGTTAAAGAGCCACTCAGATCAAACTATAACCTATAAAGTTAAAAGTACAGATGCTGACAATTTATAACAATTTCAAGCACAGAAAGTGATGTTAGGTAATAAAAGTGCTAACTTATGGGATGATAACATTTCCCTTTGGCCTTGAGAATTACCACATTGTACTTACAAACAGGAAATATTTGTAAAACTTGGCAGGTAACTGATCAGTGGCATGATTATCGTTAGTAATATTAGTCACTAAAATATATCTGTGGTAAGTTCATATTAGTTATAAATATCAAAATAACTGAAAACTAATACATTTCAGTATCAAAAATGTAAATAATAAATAAATATTAATTTACTTATTTAAATGTATGAAATATATTTTTTATTTAAAAATATAATTAATTTATTATATTTAAATTTATTTAAATATGAATTATTTTATAATATAGAGAAATAAAAAGATTTTAAAAGAAGGTTACAAATTAATTTATAATTTCACATAGGAAACTATGATAATATGGCATTACCTTTAGTGTTATGGTTACCATGTCAAATGTTTGTAAGAAACAACTAATTGGCAGCAAAGTGACTAACATACGGGCTGAAATCTGAGTATTCACAAGGGAAATCAGATTTAATTAGAGAAATGCTCACCTGCCATGAATGGGACACACACACACACACTTACTCTTACCCACATTTAATCTCACCTGTGCAGGTCGAGCTCCAGATAAGGAAAAATTAGTTTATCTTTTATGAGCTCCCATATTACTCTGGTCATCTCATCTCCTTGCATCTCGACCACAGAACCCGCTTTGATCTTCTGAGACATTCTGGACCCTGCAAATCCAATGACGGTTATGTTAAGATGTATAGTAGCGTTAGTACTTACTCCCTGAAGAATTAATAGATTCCATTGAGAAAGTTACACATTCAGCGAGTCAGCATCTCTGCCTTAAACCTGTTTTAACGGACAGCATTTTTGAGCCTGCAGACTAATCTAGATTTAGAAGTCTGTAGTTTGTATGGTTTTCCATAATTAGCAATAGTAATACCTTAGTTTTTCAGATATGCATGGTAATTTTTGGATACAGTAAAAGGACATGCTGTTCTTTTAGGTACCCTGAACTACTATGCAAGTACAATCATTATGGTGTTACTATCTCTGTACTGATGTACCAGCTTTTGTGAGAGACATCATCAGCTATTCTCATGCAACTAATGTAACAGCACCTGACACACAGGCAGCCATTGTGTAATATGACACAGGCCTTTTATCCACCATTGAGAGATTGAGTGTATCTTAGTATAAATTGTGTTCTGTTAACAAATGTTTCAACGTCTTGTTGCAGTTCCACAGATTGGCACTGGTTACTTAACAAAACAATTAGGACAAAGGTCAAATACAACGCGAGCAATCCTGTTTTGCACACATAAATTAATATTTTAATAAAAGATTGGTAATGAAGGTTTAGACGAATGTAGGGGCTACTTCTACAATCAGTCGTAAAATTATTAATGCAACATAAACAATTCATTACATATTTCATTTATATATGACCACCGAGGTTTCAAAGCCTATGTTTTCGTTTTTTTGTAATGAATGCATCACTTTAACAGTGCTTTCTTCAGTAATGCTCGGTAGTCTACGTTGCAGGAAACGTCAGATGAAACAACAGCTACTGTAATGTGATTTACCAGCGATTTTGAACGATCGCGACTCAACATACGACGCCTACCTTTTCTTTTGAGGTTGTACAGGAGAAAATAGAGAGATATCAGATGGTCGATGTGTCGTATGGAGGCTTGAACGTTTTTGGACTAGTCTTGGAAGGCGTTCCTATCATCAGCTGAGTGGATGGCATGGCTCTCTCCAGCTCTGCTAATACATGTACTTCTTCAATCAGATAATCCTCCACCAATCCAAGACAATACGGAACTATACTCAAACGATTAGTCCCTCCTTCATTATTCACCCTATTGGGAGGCATTTAGGTTTTTGGATAATAGCTGTTTGCAGTGGGACGGACACTTGTCTTCCTCTAGGGGACGCTATGCAGCTCAAAAAGGGAGAAGGGTCTGGCTGAAGCCTCGCACTTGCACTCTCAGACACTTGCACTTCCGCTAGCGACGTCACTTGCAGGCTTTATTTTTTATTTTGTTCTATTTTTTATTACTTTTTGTTTGAATCTCTCAACATTTTACAACAGTAGCCAGGTGGTGAAGACAAGAAAAAAGAAACTAAATTACGAAGTCACTTGCAATCGCCGCTTGCACTCTCCGATACCTGCGACGTCACTTGCAATCGACACAAATCATGCGTGTTGCCAATGGAGACAAGACGCTGTGGTGGTGATTAAACGATTAAGTTTGCGCATTGTGTGCGCCTTGTAGCTGCGCATTCACACTGCACGATATTAGCCCGATTTTTCACTCGCCGAGAGGTTTTGTGAAATCGCCGACAAATGCCCGACATCGGAGGCAAATCGGTGGTCGTTCACGCGAGTGACAATCACGCAGTGTGAATTATCAAAGACGCGATATGAGGGAATCGCCGACACGTCGCCGACGTCCGCAAAATATTTGGCATGCTAAATATCTGGAGTTGGCGGCGATTCACAATCACGCTGTGTGCACTGATTTCTGCCTGAAAGCTACATCGGCGCTGACCTACAGCCAATGAGACCAAGATACAGGGCAGAGGGAAGTTCGGGGAGGAGTTATAGACCAGAATATTAGTATTTTAATAGATATATGAACAATTATATTCCGCAAAATATTCGGCATGCTAAATATCTGGAGTTGGCGGCGATTCACAATCACGCTGTGTGCACTGATTTCTGCCTGAAAACTACATCGGCGATGACCTACAGCCAATGAGACCAAGATACAGGGCAGAGGGAAGTTCGGGGAGGAGTTATAGACCAGAATATCAGTATTTTAATAGATATATTTACAGTCTCGCTGGAGAACTCCGGTCTGACGCACGCGGGTTCTCGCGTTATTTCCTTATCACTTCTCGCGTGTGTTTTGTTGTGAAACGTAGTTTGCGGACCAGACAGAGCTGTCGGCGATTCTTCCTATTGTGAAGTCATGCAGTGTGAAACCCCCTGTCGCCAATCCATCGTGCAGTGTGAACACAGCAGCAACTTAATGCTACCCCAGATAGTCACGCAGTGTGAAAACAACGGCGATCCGACGAGTTTGAAAATCGTGCAGTGTGAACTCGGCAAAAGTGAGCACTGAGCAGTCGTTCGGCATCTCCTGTGTGAATGCAGAATTCATACTTACCGGCAGATGTCGCAATTTTCTGCCTTTTATTTATTTAGTACATTTTTATAGCAATGCAGGCCATAGCAAGGGAATCCTGATGAGTCAAATTGCAAAATGAAACAGGATGGACATAAGTGTTTTGCATAACAGCTATGGCCTACTAATATCTTTTAAAGTCTGTAAGTATGTCGTCCTTTGGAATATTTTGGACATCTGGAATCTGCAGGCCAAGGTGACATCTAAGTTTTAGGTGAAAAATGTAAAAAGGTTAGATATACAGTAACTTGCCATGTGTATTACTTATTTTATTCTTTTCTTTTTCTTTTCTTTTCTTTTTTATTTTATTATTATTATTTTTTTTACTTTGAACTACAGTATTACCTCAGTGGTGAGTTGTGAAATTTTATTTATTACCTGTGTCAAATTACATATTCAGCTGTTTGTCTTGTTATAAGTTGTTCAATGGAGACACTGTATTTAATTTCTTCTACCACACAGGAGAAAAATATAAATAAATATTCCCCCCCCCCCTTGTTATTCTGTTCTATTATTATTGACCACAAACACATTGATCGTGTACAAAATTAAATCTATAGAAATAGTCAGGGATAGCAGTAAAACACTCTTGCACATAGTTATACTGTTTGATTTATGAATCAATTAAAAATAAGGATGTCGGACATGATAAAAAATCTACGTAGAACAAGTGTCAATTACTTAGAAATGTATTTTGTGTCCATTTTTGAAAAACATTTACATTTTATACAAAATTTGTTATTTTAATAATTGTCTAAAATGTACTAAAATACTTGCCTTGGACTGTGAATTAACAGACAATGTTATCATACTATATGCACTTTATTATATTATAAAACATGGGTTTCAAAGTATAAAATATATATTTTGTGAGTTCTGTTAGTTTCTTTTTAAAGAAAATATTTTTTTCTGAGGTTCTTTCAACTATGCCAACATTTCTTTAAAAAAAATTACAGTTACACCACCTTGACAAATGTATTCACTATCAACAAGGTGTAGACTATTCAAGTAATTTTAATGTATTTTTTTAAATAACTAAGATTCAGATTAAGTAAATGATGTCAAGTAATTGACCCTTAAATAAAAAAATTCTAATTTTATGTGTAAAATTAGGAAAAAGTAAGAACCTTTCACAGTCACTAAATACTTTCTTGTGAAAATTCAAATTTCTTACAAAATCAAAATTTGGTTTGTTTTTGGATCATTTCATCTGAATAAAGAATCTTTAATAAAAAGAAAACTAGTACAAGGGTTCTAGCCTCCTTACCAGACTCATGCTCACCACGTGACGTGACATCTGCTGGTTATAGCAACTAGAGAAAGCCAGTTATATAGATGTAGAGAGGAAGGAAGGATCGTGGTGCCAGTAGTCCACACAGCATCAGTGCGCAGTCGCCTCACCAGTCAGAGCTCCGGTCTTCAGCGCTGCCGTTACGCACAGGTTCATCTCATCTCCAAGCACCTGACTTACAAAGACACGTACGCGGATTTTCGCCCTCTTTATGACACGATGTAAGGCAGATATGTGGGCTTTTCGTTAAAGGATATGGTCACTGTTGAGCTGCCAAAGTGGAGCCGCGCGTATCACGGATCGGGGCGCTCCTGCAGGGTCTAGGATGCGCGCCCGGAACATCCCGATTCTTACCCGGGTTCGGGGCTGAGAAGGAGTCCTCTGCCCTTGCTGGGCGCAGAGGCGGGAGGAGGACACAGTCGACCCGCACCAGGATGCCTGTGATGAGAGGTCTGCTGGCCCCGCAGAACACCTTCCTCGACACCATCGCCACCCGTTTCGATGGCACCCGTAAGTGAGCAGCTTACCGTTCCTTCACCAAAGTGTCAAATGCAAATACAAAGTGTTTGAGGCAAATTTAACAGTCACCTGAAGCTATTTACATCAGTGCGTAAAATGGAACAGTTGTAAGCTCTTAATGCACGCGCGTGGACATATGGAATCCTTTCGTGTAGCAGGTTGATCGTTGTCTCGTAACATCGTTCAGGGTAGCCAGTGACAGCAGTAATACATACTAGCCTACAGCTAAAACTATTTTGGACAACATTTTATAATTATGCATGGATGCAGTTTTATAGCCTCATATTAATTGAAAGACTGCATGAAATATTTGTACTTGTCACATTCCGACTATTTAAGCAAACTGTAAAAATAAGTTTAAAATAGTGAAAAAAACCTGAAATATATAGATTTTTTTTATTTTATTTTAAATATTTGTTCATTTTAATTACATTACATTTTGGTGTTGAATTAAAGTTAATGTCCATTTTGTGAGCTACTAAGTGTTGTGTAACACTGTGAACTCTGTCTCTGCCTCAGTTCTTGATTGTACTTATAAAGAAAGGGATGTATAGCTTAATTTCCCCGTCTTGCTGAGTTCAGGTTGCTGCATATCTGCTTATTTGAGATGTTCTGATTATTTGGATGTTGTGATCTGTTCCCTGGCATCCCTAGTACATTTTGTCTAATTTTCTTCTCAGCATCTCAAATAATTACATAATCTGAAGAGCAGAAGCAACGTAATAAGATTTAACAGTGTTTTTTGAGAATACATTTTTCTTGACATCTGGATGGCCCATTGAGGGTGAAAGAGGTCAGAAATCCTTCAAAGAGGAAAACAGGTGCATCTGTCACTACTCCAGTGCTGCAGATGAGTGTGAGAAAACACTTTTGCGCTCTCTTCCCATTCTTTAGGCCGATCTTTCATCTAAAGCCACAGAGAGTGAGTCTGTGATTTGTAAAGTGTTTTTTTTTAACAGAAGGGATGAGTAACTTGCATGCTGTCCGGCTGAGCAGTGGGTGTGTAGGTGGATAGAGGTTCATTAACATGCAGCTTCACATCTATGCAGTGTCTGTCCAGTGGTCAAGGTGGTGTAGTTTTATGGTTAAAGGGATGTTCTGGGTTAAGTGCAAGTTAAGATGAATTGACAGCCTTTGTGGCATGATGTTGATTGCCACAAAAACTAAACAATATGCATGTTAATATAATTTTGGTGTGAAAAAAATGCTTACTGACCTTTTCTGTTTCAATTTTACACCTTTGTTGCCGTGACAACAGAATGCCATAAACCCTGTAACCCCGAGAATGACTAAAATGATTCAAACAGCTTTACTGCTGAAATAATACACAAGTTAGCAGAACAATTAATTTAACAGCTCTTAGAAAATTATAAACTTCACATTTCTGCTTTTAAATCCTCCAAGAATTGGCCTGATTTACTTCTGTTGAACTCTAAATTGAAAGGCTATGTGTTCAAATCACTCAAATGCTCATCACTATCAATTAACAATTTGTTAGCAGTTGTGTGCTAACCTCTAGATCACAATCCCACTGGCTTTTACCTTTAACTGATCATCAGCGATAAATAGATAAACACAGAGGGGGCTTTTAGAGAAAGACCCCTATGATTGTTAATAGAGAATAGAATTGGAATAAAAGCCTGCAGTAAAATGCCTTCTGGAGATCCTTTACGTTGTTGTGGTCAGAGCTTGTAAAGACAAGAACTTATATTATTGTTTGTCAATTTATCGCCTCACACATGGTTGGGATCAGCTGCATTTAAACTCAAAGTGACGTGCACTATCAAAGGTTTAATTCTGCTGTTTGATGCCAGAGAAAAGGAGAGAAAGAGCGAGAGGAGAGTTTTGTGCTGCTGGCGTGCTCCCATTTGAGAGGAGTTCAAAGACAGGCCCATAGAGAGAGAAGATAGTTGCTGCAGACACTGATAAACACAGGACTTCATTAATGATGTGAGGCTCCTCACATTCACACATACTAACAGGAAGTGACGAATTCAGCCTTTATTGTGGCAGATATTTTGACAATATGCATTAGGGATGACCGGATCAATCTTCAGAAATATGACACTTCTGGAAACAGTATTTAAAGTATAAGTTCTCACAAAATTATGGATCCTACTTTTTGATCCTTACTTTCTAACGATTTATTCTAATGATATTTAAACATAACATAACATAATAGTAAAATATATTATATAAGCTGTGAAAAATATGAACTTGGTTAAAAAAATAGTTGTGTAATATAGAAATTATTTGTCCTCATCTGAACATGAGCAAAAATGCTAAAACGCGCAAGCAGTCAGACAGCGTTCAGCCACAGCACTCAAACACACAGAGAGCACTGCTTGCCAGAGGTAATGAAAGGAAAAAAAGAAGCATCATTTGTTATTTTACTCCACTGCATGACAACAAAGCTGAATATGACATGTATTATAGTCTGATAGTTGTAAATATATATATATATATATATATATATATATATACTGTATATATTTTAATGAAAACTATGTTGCTAATAAATGGAAACTAAACAGTCCGATAATTTCCAGTTTAGGCCTATTTTGTGGCTATTTAATGTTTGTTGGCTATAATTATTTGTTTTATCCTTGAAAATCATAAAACTTATTGGTGTAGATATTGGCTTTGATAGTACTTCGTATCGGATTGAAAAGAAACCCAAACTCTAACGGATATCACTCCACCACTATAGTATGCGTATATAATTCTGCTGTCTTTCTAGATTATATTGACCAACCAAACAACCATGCAAGATAGATTTTTGTTGTTGTTGATGTCTACATATATTAGTCCTCTTGAGCATGAAGATATCAGACAGACCGTCTTCCATCTGTTGGAGATGTGTTGATCCCTAGACATTACATCTCGCTGCACATTTAACTCCTGATCTCGATATGAGCTAACTAAATCCAGCTAGCCAAAGTCTTTGCAGTGAAGAGCTTCAGATTCAGAGAGAATTTAAAAAAAAATATTTTGAAAAAAAAAGGCAAAGACAAAAGGACGTGATTCGGTCTTTGTCATCCATATTCAATCAAACATTCATTCAGAGCATTTAGCACATTTCAGACAGAATAAATACAGGCCTTTCCATTCACCGAACACAGCTAATTACACACCCCTAGCAAACCGAGTGCAGTCATCATAATTAACAGCCGCCAGTGTCAAGAATTCATCTTGGCCTATCTGAGCGTTTGTTTAATCTCCAAAGCAGATGAGAAAGAAACTGAACAAAACATCGGGGTGAGCCATAGACTGAGTCTAGTCGCACAGTTGCACACACACACACACACACACACACACACACAAAAACAATCACTTTCTCTTCTTAACGGAAGCTAATGTTTTCTTGATTTGTGGCCTTTTGTTGAGTACCGAATATGTAATACACAATACCATTCAAGGTTTGTGTTTGGTATGATTTTTTTGGTAATGTTTGCGAAAGAAGTCTCCTACCAAGGATGCCTTTATTTGATCAAAAATAAAAACAGTAATGTTGTGAAATATTACTTTAATATTTTTATTATAAATACTATATATAAATAATGTATTTATGAGGCGCCAAACAGGAAATAATTATGCAAAATCTGAATATATAGAAGTAAATCTGAATATATAAATGTAAATCTGAATATACAAATGTAAATCTGAATTTATAAATGTAAATCTGAATATATAAATGTCAATCTGAATATATAGAAGTACATCTGAATATATAAATGTCAATCTGAATGTATAGAAGTACATCTGAATACATAAATGTAAATCTGAATGTATAAATGTAAATCTAAATATATATATGTAAATCTGAATATATAAATGTAAATCTGAATTTATAAATGTAAATCTGAATATATAAATGGAAATCTCAATATATAGAAGTAAATCTCAATATATAGAAGTAAATCTGAATATATAAATGGAAATCTGAATATATAGATACTAATCTAAATATATACAAGTACATCTGGATAAATAAATGTACATCTCAATATAAATATATATTTATTATCAGGCATGTCAAAAGACAGATGTTCTTATTTATTATTTTTATTAAAACAATATGCCTACATCCTGAATGCATCAATGCGGATATTGTACTAAATACTGTAAGTGCATATCACTTATCTAAACCAAATGGAGTATTTTTACTGTATTTTACAAAAGGCTGGCCATAGCGCTAAAAGGTCATCACAATTCAACTCACAATTCAAAAAAATTTTGCGCACTCTTGTCCAGTGTTAAACAGTCACTGTTTCTGTTTTTGGTATTCCAATATAAATAAATGCATGTTTTCATGTAGCATTTTTTTCCTTTACTAGGTACAATATTTCAAGGAATCACCTGGAAAATGTACGTGATATTGTTTTTAGTTGGACCACTATATCTCAAAAGCTATGTATTAGCGTCAGGACTTTATTTAATCGCAGAAGGGAACTAGGGCTAGAAGAGAATTGGGGATTTACTCCTCTCTCTCTCATATGGAGCTTGATCACCATATAATCAACATCCTGTCATCTATACCTTATTCTGGGGAAACATACATTCAAGGCAGCTTAAGAGGCAGAGGAAATAGAGTTCATTATGGAAAACCTGAATTTTCAGCAGTCATTACTCCAGTTTTCAGTGTCACATGATCCTTCAGAAATAATTCTAATATTTGATGCTCAAAAAACATTTCTTCTTATTATCAATGTTGAAACCATTTTGCTGCCTTTTTTCGGGATTCAGCATTTAGAACAGCATTTCTTTAAAATAAAAATATTTGTGTTTTATAATGTGTCCTTGCTGAATAAAAGTATTATATTTAAAATAAAAACATATTAAAAAAAAAAACATACTGACCCCAAACTTTTAAACAGCATGTGTTCAATAATTAGTTGGACATAGCTGAGCAAATATATAAGAGATCAGAAATTTTGTATTCTGGTCAATCCTCAGCTCCCATATTGATATGGTGCCAGAAATACCCTAAA